CACACCTATACACGCCAGTAAGGAGAGATCCAGAATTTTGAATAGTGTGTGATCTAAATGTAAACATTTATAAAGAGCACAGGTGTATTTATGTTTTAGTAAGGAGTTTGGTGGTTTTCTCTAAGTTTAGGAACTTTTCATATATATCTAAGGCAGAAAGGGTTAAAGAAATATAGAAAAAAGACAATAAGGATTAGGTGCGTTGATTTTTGTATGTCAACCTATGTTGGGATATTTAATATTGAAATCAATATTGTTTTTAATATCTGAGTCTATATCAAGGCAATACATGTAGGCATCACCTTGGATTATAAATATTTACTTGATTCAGAATCAAGTAAGTAACAATTATTTTTATTTTATGGGTGACTTTCACTGGATTTTGCAATTAATTTCAATTATTTCCATATTTATTTCTAAGTTATAAATCACAGTAATGAAAACTTGGGAATAGAAAATTTCTGTAACATGAACCATTGAAAGTCAGAGAGTTGTGTCCCTTTAATTGTGACACACTGACATTCACATTTATTATATAGAAGAAGATGAGCTATTCAGATATGTGTCCCTTGAAAATGTGTGTCACGCTGACATTGGCATTTATTATATAGAAGGAGATGAGCTAATGAGAGTTGTGTCCCTTTAATTGAAAAGTGTGACACATTGACATCAGCATGTATTGTTTAGTGACACTGTCATTCACATTTATTATATAGAAGAAGATGAGCTATTGAGAATTGTGTCCCTTTAATTGAAAAAGTGTAACACATTGACACTCGCATTTATTATATAGATTTACATGTATCCCACATTAAACTATAACACATGTATACACTAAACTATATCACATGCATGCAACAACAAGTAATGTGAAAAATGGGGAGGTGTATTAGAATAGCAAATGATGCCTTCTATAAGTTAAGCACAGTATTAAAAAACAGGAAAATTTTGTTAGAAACAGAAAAGAAAGTACTGGATTGTTATCCAATATTGGTTCTCCTATATGGCAGTGAATATGGCAAGTGATATTGGTTATTTAAGACTATAAGTATTTATTTGGTTCAGGAATAGGTAGATATTTGTCATTTATATCTGAGTCTGGGAAAACAATATATAAATTTTTATATATCAAGAAACAATTTTAGGGGAAACAAGTATGACAAAGTGGAAAACTTTTTTCACTTTGTCATACTCCACCCCCTATATGTAAGTCTTTAAGTATTTACTTGGTTCAGGGATAGGTATATATTGGTCATTTATATTTGAGACTATTGTGGATTATTACACTTAGCTTTGTCAAAACGTCTGTTTGGTGATGCTTTTGAAGTCTATAAAAAGGTAATTTTATTTTCTAGCTTTCACTTTTTAACTCTTGCTTACAGATGTAGTTGATGTCAATAAAGAATACTACTGACAGGGCACATTCACTTCCTTGGTCCTCTGTCGACTTTTGAAGTTTTCACACATGCACATACAAAAACATGTCTAACATATATGCATGTTACACACATAAACACATACAAACAAGCACACTGTAATAACTACTGTTAAGGAATTGCAACACCTGGTCAGCACTGAAGCCTCAAACATACAAAAATTTACAAGCAACAATTTGAACCAAAGATAAAACTCGGTTTAACCAAATCCAAAATAACATTAATTCAAAAATAACAGTATGCATTGACTATGAGTGATTCGATTGTGTATGGTATTAGTGTTTGAGTATATAGGTAAAAGTAGTTTTCACAGCTGTGCACATGGTGAAGAGTTTGAAATGTCTTTTCCTTAATTACATTTGCAAGATAGTAAGTAGAAAGAAAAGTGTCAGTGAAACAGTACATAACTGGTGTTGCTTATATGGGTGTTCCTAGTTCTTGACCTGGTTACTATGGCAATGTTATGAATCAGTGAGTTTGTTCTTTGGCTATGGTTGTTGAAGGAGTGGAAAAAAAGGATGAGTGGTTGCTTTCCCTCCATCTGCTGACATGAAGTTCAATAGCTGGCAGATTTCTCCCTCCTGAACTGAAAATTTCTGCACTATTTATATGTTTATGACAACTGTTGATGATGTAGGGTGCGGACGTAGATGTAAGCTAAAATTCACACCTACTTGAGATAAATGCTTGTATTTTCCAACCAAACATTTTTTAGGTCCGCTACACTAGTTTTAATGTTTTTTTCCTTTCAGTACAATTATGTACACATATAATTACTTTTGTTAATAACATGCATTGTCATTTATTCTATATTCATTTTTTTTTTGTGTTTATTATTTTTACACAGACACAGTGAGTGCACCAATAATGTTTACAGGATAAATGTTCCAGGAACCCATAAATATTTAATATAAAATACCTATACACATCATAGAAAGACATGATATCTGCAACATAATGTTGACTTATTGCTATCTAAACTTACTAGTATCCTGCAACACTATAAATAATTAGTTCACTAAATAAATATTGGTCATTTATATTTCAGTTTATTAGCATTTACTTGGTTCATGGATAGTTAATTATTAAATAATCTATATTTGAGTCTCTGAACTGGTTCAGAAATAGGTAAATATTATTTACTTGATTTGAGAATAGGTAAATACTGATGAATTATTTTTATATTTACATGGGGATAGGTAAATAATTATATTTTAGTCTATAGACTTGTTTTGGGGATAGATAAATATTGGTTGATTATATCTGAGTCTATGCAATGGACACCCGTCTTCAGACACATACACTTTCATAGCCTCATCCTCATACAGAAAGCCTTTCATATGCAATGCAAAAACGTGCCCTCAGACATATACACTTACACAGCCTCATCCACATAGAAGGCCTTTCATATTGCATTGCATGAACATTTCCTCAGACATTTACATAACTTCATGCATATAGAAGTTCTTTCATATGCAATGGATATATGTCTCCATACACATACACTTATATAGCCTCATACATATAGAATACCTTTCCTATGCAATGAACACACATTCTCAGTGGCATACAATTACATAACCTCAACCACATAGAAAGTATTCCTTAGGCAATGCACACACATATCCCCAGATACATACACTTACATAGCCTCATACATATACAAGGCCTTTTATATGCCATGCAGTCACTTGTCCTCAGACACATATACATACATAACCTCATACATATAGAAGGTCTTTCATATGTATTGCACACACATGGCTTGAAACATACATAGAGTCCTGAATTTGTATACACACAACACCTACAGTTTTACACACACACATATATAACTTTAAACATATAGTCTCTCACACTGTCACTCACCTAATTTTACATACACTCAAACATATCTTTACACATACATTACCTCTTGCATAAATAATGTCTGATTATTTTCAAGTACACCTCTCTGTTAGGGTATTTAGTTAATCCTTGTTTCAGGTATATTTATGCCTCTTCAATACCTACAGAATCAAACTGTGGTTTATACTGCAACTATGCTGAGCAGACTTTACTTACAGATTCTGGTGGAGCATGCACGATCTTGTGTGATCAGTAGTTGAACAAGATCAGTAAGTTCAAACTTTCAGTCATGATTACTTGAGACATTGTGCCAGCACAACCATCAATGGCTACCAAACAGTCTGATCCTTCCAATTTTAAACATATTTTTCAATTGCTGTTGTGCAAACTGCAGTTTAAAATATAACTGCAGCTTGAAGATATTTTATCAAAGAGAATCTTCAACATGTGAGACATGTGTCTACAATTCAACATAGAGAACCATAACACACAAACTATGCATTCACTGCTCATATCTTCCAAAAAAAATGGTTACTTTATTAGGGAACTGAATTTAAATAAAACAGACCTACTTAAAGAAGGCTGACAAATTCTGTTATATTGAGAAGGTGGATGCTCACAGAGAATTCTGGGAAGATCACTATAATTTGACTCTTCTAAAAGAAGAAATTTTTGCTGTATTGTAAAAGAAGATGGTACAATCCAACATGTGAATATGTTTGGTAACATTGATCTCTACAACCAAGAATCAATACATTTCTTGGTTTGATGTCATAAATTTTTCTAACATTTCAATTACACAATATTTGCCAGGTTTTTTTTTTCAGTATTTGAAGTTGTGGATTAGAGAAGAAAATTTGTTTTGTTGAAGGAATATGAAAAGATTATTACTGTGAATGGATATTGCCATGTTAAATTGGTTCTATTTCACTTTTTTTCATTATAGTTAGTTTTTCATTATTTAATTTTTTTCATTATCTATGTTTTTTACACTAAGTTTTTTTTACATTATCTGTCTATCTATCTATTATGACATTGTTGTCAATCTGTTATGGGATGAGAACTAATGACAAACAGGATCTTAACTCGAATAAAATGTTCTTGGGTGTTATGTAAAAAATGTTGCTTCAAAAATGTGTATGATTAATACAGTTAGTAAATGTAAATGAAATGATAACAACATAGAAGTACACAACATAACAGAATGAAATTTATAAAGAATACATACAGATGAATGCTAACTTGGACTCAAATTATATGTGAGATTGCATGGTTCTTCAGTTCGTCATGTTTTCAGAAAAGACCAAAGAAAAAACGAGACAAACTCTCTAATGCTTGGAGATTAGAAATCCTCTAAGGGACATAATTTAACTCCCATTTAATTATAGTTTTTATATTTTATTCTAGGGTCGTCCCTAACACCTTCTTTTTTTTTTTATTTGTATGCTAATATGACTTTTACCCAGAGTTTACTTGTAGATGGTTGGTTAAACACTAAATATGAGACCTCTTAGTGCTCATTACTTGATCTTTAGGTTTACTGTTCAGTGTAGCTTGTGAATTCTATTGAGGTAAATCAAATGTTTCTAACACAATGTCAAATGGAAGAGCTGAATGCTGTTGGATAGTTTTTGATAATTGAGAAGGTTGTAGTTGGTTTGAATGTCAAACCCAGATAGAAGATTGTATGTCAACATCATTGGTGACGTTTCCATTATGACACACAATGTGTACTGGTGTGCACTTCTCAGTGCTGTTCTGATAGTCATTTTCTATCTATCTCAGTCTTTCCATTATCTATCTATCTATCTATCTATCTTGTCTTTTCATTATCTATCTATCTATCTATCTATAGGTATAAATACGGATATAAACCAAATTAGATATTAGCAACATGTTTTAGCGTGCATACACAGGTAAGCAAATGACAGTCTTTTCATTATCTATCTATCTATCTCAGCCATTTTGTTATCAATCTATCTGTTATGGCATATTTATATATTAATAGCTGTATAATTATACTACATTTATCTTGTGGTCAAGATAACTGTGAATATTCCCCTTCTTCCTTTAGCTGGTATTTCAGGCCAGTTTGAAATCAAGATTCTGAATACTGTTTTCTGAAGCAGACAGGTACTTATTACTTGGTAAATGGATACTAAACAATCTTATTATCTATCTATCTATAAAGTTCTGGACTGGATTAAGAAAAAATAGTGTATTGAGTTCAATCCTGGTTGTATACACTATAAAGCATTTTCAGTGTGCATGATGCTCTTTTTTGGCTGAAAAAAAAAAACAGAACAAAAACCAGAATCAAAATTCAAAGGTGGCCATTAAACTAGATCTTATAAAATTTATATTGTATTTGCTAGTACATAAAAAGGGGAGACTACTCTAGAATTATAGCTATGCATTTAGAGTAATGGTAATCAGTGTAGAAAGTAGAAAATTAGGTAATCCACTTGCCTCACTCTTTAATTGAATGTTTTCTAAGTACATAGATATAAATCTCATGTCACCTTGTTGATGGCCTCATGCTTCAAATTAAAAAAACAACAACCATCTTTTCAATTGAGAGCAAATCTAAATGCTCAGTAAATGAATGCTGAATGTTTCCTTATAAAGAAATGGCTAGTATTATATTACAATCACTATCTAGTGGTTAGCAGAAGTTCATTGGCTAACAAGTGGGGTAATGCTACACTAGTAATCATTCATGAAAAGGAGTATGTCAATTCAGAATTTTATGATAAAATGCATGATAATAAGATATAAAACTTGTAAGGAAATAATCATAAAAACGCTTTATTTAAAATTTGAAAATGTATAATGATTTATTATGTTTTATTGTTTTTATTTGCTTTCTTTTTCTCCAAGTACTAAAGTATTTTTAATGTATTTTAATGTATTTTTAATGTATTTTAATGTATTTTTAATGTATTTTAATGTATTTTTTCTTTATTTTTTGCAGTAGGCTCTGTTGTTGGTCAGTGTTGAGGACAAGCCAATTTATGGACACTTCTTGGATATCCTCTTTATCTCATCAGGAAGACACTAATTTTACAGGCTTACAAATGATGTAATTGCCCCACCCTCCAAAAAAGGACTGTTTCAAACTTTCTGGACATCTCTTATCTCTCACCATCAATGGGCATATATCTCTTTTACACATGTCTTAATTTCATTTAACAACTGATGTAGATGTTTTAAATGAGTCAGTATAAGGTATATGCATCAAATATATGAATGCATAAACTTAATTATCATCTGCTTGTACATCTTATGATATTTCATTGTTTTATGATTTTGAAAAACAAAAAAGAAGAGAAAAGAAAGTAAATGAATAAGAATAAAAATTAAGAAAAAAAAAAAAAACTGAACCAAAAATTAAAAACAAACAAGAAGACATTTTTTTTTTAACATAAGAAAAAGAAAGAAAGAAAAAAGACAGATTAGATTTCTTAAATTCGTTTTTGCTTGTTAACATTTTTGGCATTTTTAATTTTTTTAAGGGGAAGCTGTGAATACCCACTTGAACATTTGAACTTGTTCAGTTATTCATTTTTTTTGTCACCTCAAGGCAAAAATGCAGCATCAGAAGCAACCAAAGCATCATCATCATCATCATCATCACCATCATCAACATCATCATCAACAGCAACAACAACAACAGCAACAACCGCAACAACCGCAGCAACAACAACAACAACAACAACAACAACAGCTTACAATGTCCAGATTTGGTTTATTTATGTGTATATTTCTCCTCCCATCTCTCTCATTCTCCCTTATTTTTTTCCATCTCATCTATATCTTCACGTTTCAGAGTCCTGATCATCCCATACTGAGAGCTGCTGCTGATTTTATCTTTGACTTATTATAAATACTATAAATTCTCAAGGAGTCAAAATAAATTGAAAACAGGGCGGGGGTGGGTGGGGGTTCAAAATAATTGCAAAAAATCTTATTCAAAATTTCCGTACTGTTGAGTTTTCTTCACTTTCTGCCAGTGTCTCTAACACATTTTTGGGAACATAACTTTTTTAAAAAAAAAAAAATAGAGAGATTTTTCTTTGACACTGAAAATTAATTTCTAAAATTAGTCCCTGACCCACCAAAGATATTATATTTCAAAAGAGAAAAAAAAGTAGAAAAACAGTAACTGAAAATAAAATGAAAAGATTAGATTATCTTGAGTTGTCGAAATTTCATTAAATGAACTAATTTTGATTAGATATTCTTTCATTAAAAGCAAATTATCAAAAAAAAAATAAAATAAATAAATAAAATTATCTTCCTTAGCAGCAATATAAAATATAAAACTGACTTTTTAGCTGGTTATATCCATATGATGTCTGCACACAATGCAGTGAAAACCTTAAACTGATTTCTAATAAATTCTTTCATATTATACTTTAATCAACATTGTTAATTGTCCCCTATGTTAGGTGTTAAAACTTATACTCTGGTTTAATTGTTAATAACTTCTTTTGAGACATTTATGTAAATATTTACATTTTTTTCAAATGTCCTATAAAAATAACATATCTTAGAATTTTGTAGGTAAAGCTTTGGCTAAAAAGCTTTCAATTGTAAGTTTTACAGGGTTCGTGCAGTGCCTTGACAAGAAAATTGTTTTTAAATGCTTAAATTTTTAAAAAGTTGATAATATTCTAAAACTTTTTAAATGATATATTGTCATTATATAATGCAAAATTTTTACATGTCCTTGTTCAGATTATTTAAAAAATATATATTTATATACATATGTGAATTATAGAGGAAGAATGTGACAGGAATTTTAAAAAATGAATGAAATGTGTGAAAAAAAAATAAAACAATTCAATTAGCTCCTTCCACAGTCCAAATATTTATAACTGTTTTTCTTACAAATGAAGATTTAAAAACAAACAAGAAAAAAGAATAAAGCAATGAAAAATAGTTGAAACCCCTGCATGTGTGTGTGTCTCTCTCTCTCAATATATATATATATATATACATACATATATACATACATACATACTTATATATATATATATATATATATATATATATATATCAGTGGTTATGGATGACTTTGAAGCTGAGTTTATGCAGTCCGTGATAACTATTAATGGTTATGAGAGAGAAATCTGAGAAAATTATAAAATCAACAACTAATGATATATGCAAAACTTATTTATTTGTAAGTTAATTCAATTCTTTGTTACTTTTTGGTAAATTCCTTGATTACTTTCTTGTAGAAAGTATCCACATCACATTATATCTTCAAGATCTTTATTCATGGAATTGAAAACCAAATGATTCAATCTAACTTCATGCCACTGCTTTTTCTTATATCGTTTTTTGCTAACTCAACCTTAACACCTCATCCTTCTTTTTGTCATTTCTTCCATGTTCTTTGTGTCTCTGTACAGAACTGGCACAGGAGTGATATATGGAAGCAGGGGCCTTCTCTGTTTGCACTACACTTTTAATGTCAATTATTTCCAATTTACCCTAAGAAATGAAGGAATGACAGCTTAAAAAATATCAGAAGTGCAAGTAGGACATTATATAGAAGCAGGGGATTTCTCTGCTTACACTACACTATTAATGTTAATTATTCACAATTTATTCTAAGAAATGAAGGAATGGGAGATTTTTTTAAAATTATCAGTTAGTTCATTTTAGTATACTCCTTGATAGTAAAAATTATTAATAATGATTTTTTATTACACAAAATTAATTTTATACAAAAATTATTTATCCTGGAAAAAATTCAAAGCATATGGTGCTTGTATTGTATACATGGACACTTTTTGATAAATATATATATGATATATATATATATATATATATATATATATATATATATATATATATATACACACACATATATATACTTATTTGTATGGATGTGAGTTTGTAATCCAGGGTTACAAACTCACATCCATAAACTAAGTATGTTAGCTCTATCACTGATATTGAGTGCTTTTCAATAAGTACTGCACATATATAAATAATATATATATAAATCACACACACACGCACATATTTATTACACACACACACACACACACACACACACATATATATATATATATATATATATATATATATATATATATATATATATGGCAAAAGAAGTTGAAAACTCTACTGGAGCCTTTAAGAGTATTTATTTAGAGTAACTTTACCAGTAACTAGATAACTAGATGTGAGATATACCATGATATACCCACACGTCTCTCCATCTCCATTTAACTTTTGAAATTCATAAAACTGTGAAACTGGTAAAGTTACTCTAAATAAATGCTTTTAGACTACAGTTGCATTTTCAACTTCTTTTCGTATATTTTTTATCTGTGTGGGATATATAAAAATACTTTATATATATATATATATATATATATATATATATATATATATATTGATGTAAAATAACAGAGCTAAAATTTATACTAATAATAAATATACATTTTATTTCTCAGTGTTTGGTACAACTCTTCCTATATATATATATATATATATATATATATATATATATATATATGAATATGAATGACCTTTTCTAACAGATAATTTTAATACATAAAGAACAAAAGTAATTCAGAAAAAAAATTTGTTTGTCAACAATAGATATTCAATAAATAAATAAATGAAATAATTTTAAAAATATTATTTCAATGTTTATTTACATTTTCATTATATTCTGATAACTAAATATTGAAATAATAATTAAGTCACCCAAACTCCTTTGCTCATTTATTATTGATTACCTCCAACATTTAATAATGATTACCTTCAACATTTAATATTGATTACCTCCAACAGTAACTTTTATCCTTTGTATGTATGTGTGTGCACATT